CATCTGTTTGAGTGCTTTGCCTTGGCCCATCATCTGTTGGTGAGGTCCAGGGCAATTGCAAGCCTTGTTCATGGCCTCTGCCACAATCCTCGTAGTTGGATCTGAACCTCGTAGGCTTCTTGACGAAGGTCTTGTCCTTGGGGTTGATCTTGAGACCGGTGCGGCATCTGTCAAGCACCGTTTCGTAGTAGCCCCTCATGGATTCCAAAGTTGTGGTCTTCCATGACATAGCTTCCGCAGGTTGCTCCAGGGTGACATCACAACCAATGGCCTTGCCCTTCTTGTGGATGTCGTTGTAGAAGCGTAGATGGGTGCGTTCTTCAGCTGCACGCATCTCTGCAAGGAGAAGCTTTCGTTCATCGGTCCTGTAGTTCATGTTCTGCATGGGTGACCACAGTCGGCACTCAAAGGCTACCATGATGTGCAGGGGCTGCTCCTTGTCCATCTCGTCAAGGAACCGTATCTGTTCAGCTCGATGATCAAAGTTCCAGTCTGGCAGGCTGAACCCTCGGGCTTCCACTCCATCCTTCCGGTTGAGAAAGGCTGACAAGTTGCCCTCGTCGACATACACCTCCCAGAACTTCATCTTGCGCTCGGAACTGGGAAGCCTGCTGCAAACCAGTTGAACAGCTTCCTCCATTCCAGTGCCATCCATGTCAACCTCGATGTCCATCTCCAGATCGGAGACATCGTCCGTCAGGACTGATCCAATGTAGGCCACCTGTTCGGGGTCCTCATCTTCCAACATCGTCACGTTCATGACGTCCTGAAGGTCGTCGAAGAGGTTGATCATGTAGTGTCCATTTGAAGTCCTTGAAGGCTTCACTGGCTTGCCGTTCACCTTGATGCTCTGTTGTCCATAGTTCACCTCCACATTCCATTTCTCATACCATCAACTACTGCCCAGGCGCTATACAAAAGTTCAAAATAGACCTTAAAACCGGGGTCTAAGATCAAGTTGTATGGTTCTCTAGGTATGTCTGAAACATATGTTCAAAAACAGGCTTGGGTATCCACCGAAAAGGTCTAAGACATGTGATCCCCCTACCCCACAAGGAAAAACTTGGGGAAAACTTCAGAAGGAAAAATCAATATAGACCTCTGCGCGGGATCCAGAGTTGGTATTGTCCCAGGGTTTTGTGAAACAAGGATTTGATTTCAGACCCAGGTTGCTACCACAGTTTCCTTTCTGGAAGCGGTGCGGGACCACAGTGAGACGCGCAGTACAGGTCTAGAATGATGTTCTTAATCCATATGATACAGCAGCAGAGCTGCTTGTATACAATGCATTCATGATAGACCCAATATATCTCAACATCTTTGTATAATATATAGTTTTATATTTTATATCCAGAAACATTCAGAAACCTGATCAAGTTTTTTTTTTTTTGCGGTTTCCCTTTGGATGTTTTTGTGTCTGTGTTGGAAGTGTCGAGACTTGAACAAGGTTTGAGAATCTTTGGGGATGGCTTTGCATGTTGAGCGTGCAGCAACCGTGCATGAGGTGCATGTACGTGCGTTTTTTTCGGACACTGCGCGGGCCCACAGTGAGATGTCAAGGTCTAGAATCATATTCTTAGCGCATATGATACAGCAGCAGAGTGCTTGTATACAATGCATTCATGATAGACCCAATATATCTCAACATCTTTGTATAATATATAGTTTTATATGTTTTATCCAGAAACATCCAGAAACCTGATCAAGTTTTTTTTGTTGTTTCCCTTTGGATGCTGTTGTGTTTGCCAGACGCAGCTTAGAGAATTTTGGACTGGATGATTTCCCTTAATAATGCAGACGATCATTGTTTGTTTTGAAGGTATGGCCTCACACCTGGGGGTCTGACATCATGTTGTGGATTCAAAGTTGGTATTATCCCAGGGTTTTGTGAAACAAGGATTTGATTTCAGACCCAGGTTGCTACCACAGTTTCCTTTCTGGAAGCGGTGCGGGACCACAGTGAGACGCGCAGTACAGGTCTAGAATGATGTTCTTAATCCATATGATACAGCAGCAGAGCTGCTTTTATACAATACATTCATGGTAGACCCAATATATCTCAACATCTTTGTAAAATATATAGTTTTATATTTTATATCCAGAAACATTCAGAAACCTGATCAAGTTTTTTTTTGCGGTTTCCCTTTGGATGTTTTTGTGTCTGTGTTGGAAGTGTCGAGACTTGAACAAGGTTTGAGAATCTTTGGGGATGGCTTTGCATGTTGAGCGTGCAGCAACCGTGCATGAGGTGCATGTACGTGCGTTTTTTTCGGACACTGCGCGGGCCCACAGTGAGATGTCAAGGTCTAGAATCATATTCTTAGCGCATATGATACAGCAGCAGAGTGCTTGTATACAATGCATTCATGATAGACCCAATATATCTCAACATCTTTGTATAATATATAGTTTTATATGTTTTATCCAGAAACATCCAGAAACCTGATCAAGTTTTTTTTGGTTGTTTCCCTTTGGATGCTGTTGTGTTTGCCAGACGCAGCTTAGAGAATTTTGGACTGGATGATTTCCCTTAATAATGCAGACGATCATTGTTTGTTTTGAAGGTATGGCCTCACACCTGGGGGTCTGACATCATGTTGTGGATTCAAAGTTGGTATTATCCCAGGGTTTTGTGAGACAAGGATTTGATTTCAGACCCAGGTTGCTACCACAGTTTCCTTTCTGGAAGCGGTGCGGGACCACAGTGAGACGCGCAGTACAGGTCTAGAATGATGTTCTTAATCCATATGATACAGCAGCAGAGCTGCTTTTATACAATACATTCATGGTAGACCCAATATATCTCAACATCTTTGTAGAATATATAGTTTTATATTTTATATCCAGAAACATTCAGAAACCTGATCAAGTTTTTTTTTTTTTTGCGGTTTCCCTTTGGATGTTTTTGTGTCTGTGTTGGAAGTGTCGAGACTTGAACAAGGTTTGAGAATCTTTGGGGATGGCTTTGCATGTTGAGCGTGCAGCAACCGTGCATGAGGTGCATGTACGTGCGTTTTTTTCGGACACTGCGCGGGCCCACAGTGAGATGTCAAGGTCTAGAATCATATTCTTAGCGCATATGATACAGCAGCAGAGTGCTTGTATACAATGCATTCATGATAGACCCAATATATCTCAACTTCTTTGTATAATATATAGTTTTATATGTTTTATCCAGAAACATCCAGAAACTTGATCAAGTTTTTTTTTGCTGTTTCCCTTTTGGATGATTTTGTGTCAGCGTTGGAAGTGTCAAGACTTGAACAAGATTCGAGAATCTTTGGGGATGTCTTCGTGAAACAACGTGTCACTCTTCTTTCAAAAGCTAAAAGTGATGGTTCGCAACTTGATGGTTCCAACAAAATTGGACAACAGATGCGAGGGAACACACTGAAAAAGGGTGTTACACAGCGTCGCCACAGCATGAAGCCGCCCGATCACAGGGAACCCTCTGCTGACAGATTTATTTGACCGACCCCCAAACGCATGTGCAGATTCAGCCAGGCAGACAAGGTCTAAGATCAAGTTATGTTAACATTGAGGCCAAAGGTCTAATATCATATTTGTTTTCGAAGATGGGTTATGTTGTAAAAACCTGAAGGTCTAACATCTTCCCAGCACGAAGGTCTATTATACTTCAGTAGGGACTGTAGACCTAGCTAAAAAAAAAATCCCTGAGCTACCGGCATTCCAGACCCTGACTAGTTGAGGGGATCATTTCTCCAGGTCAGGTCGTGCTAGAAGAAGTGGTGTGGTGCCTGGAAGGATGTGGATCTTGAGCTTTGTCCATTGTTTCGCCACACAGACAGGGATCACCATAGAGCTCTGAGATCGTAGGATCACCCCATCACCAAAGCGAAAGTCTCGCACCTCGTTCACAGTGTCCACAAGGTGCATGAGGTCCCGCATCACCAGGTACTCGGCCAACTTGTCCCAGACTCTGGTACCGCACACCGTCCGTGTTGCGCCAGAATCCATGATTGCCCATCCAGCATCGGAATCGTTGTAGTTGATCTCATCCGTGATCTTGGAGTGGACGTCCAGGTCAATCTCAGTCTCCTCCACCATGTTCGCCTCGTCGGGCACTTCCTTGATTCCCGAGGCAGGCAATCTATACCTCTTGAACCTCGGGCCATGTGAGGATGTACTCCCACTCGTCGTCGATCTTGCCGATGTCGAAGAAGTCGTTGTAGATCCTGGCCCTTGTCCTCGTCGACCAAATGCAAAGCGCTTGGTGCCAGGTGGGACAAACGACTTCCCTTTTCCTTTTGGGGCTCCACTTGACTTACCCCCTTTTCCTTTACCTTTTCCTTTTCCACCACCTCCTTTCTTCCCTTTTTCTCCATGACCTCCCATGTCCAGGGCCACGACAGGGTAGAAGCCACGTGCCAGTGCCAGCTCTCGCATCTTCTTTCTGCTGTCCAAGTAGGAGATGTATGCCTCCTCCGTGGCAATGGCTGCTTCTTCAACTTCTTGGGGTGGTGGCTCATCATCGTCACCAACGTAGTCCACGTCGTCGTAGTCCTCGTAGAAGTTCTCTTCATCCTCATAGTGGTGGTAGTAGGCCTCTTCCGTCTCGTAGCCATAGTCGTCCTCGTAGTGCTCGGCCATGTTGATGTCGTTTCCTCTCAGCGCTGAATCCTTCATGTTCGGCTTGCTGTCTCCACCGAACATCCTTGTCATCGCCTTGGCCACATTCTTCACGTTGAGTTCTCCACCGCAAAGGGCCTTGATCTGAGGGTGGGTCCACCGAGGCACTCCAGCTCTGTTGAGCATGTGCCACCCCGCTAAGAGCGGTGGCACATCCACCTTCAACTCCTTGAGCTTCCGCAGCATGGTCTGGTGTCGCACGATGTAGGCCTGCAACTCCTCGCCCTTCTCCCGCGCGAACTGCTCGAAGAACTCTTGGCATCGCTCAGGCAGCTCCACCTCCTCCTCATGCTGGTAGAGGAGGTCCAGCGTCTGCCGTATCGGCAGGAAAGGGTTCTCGGAGAGCTCGATGTCGTCATAGTCGATGCCCTCCGTCGCGTCCCAAGCCGAATCCTGCAACTGCGACATCACCAGGAAGGCTCCCTCCACGGCAACGTCGCTTCCACGCCTCAGGCATTGCCGACTGAAAAGTTCAAGTCGCCGCCTGTAAGCTCTGTAGGTCCGTTGGCACAGACCCTGTGCCGAGGGCGCCGATTTGGCCAACCCGGAGTCCAATCCCTTGTAGTAGGCACCCGCAGTCTCGCCAGCGCCATTGGCCAGTGTTGGCCCCGCCGCGTCAGCAGCGGCAATGGGATCACCTTCACCTTGTCCAGGATGTTGATGGCCACGGCCAGCTCCTCGACCTCCCTTCATCACCTCGGTAGCCCCAGCCCAGGTTGGGCTCCGCTACCAATCACAATCACCAGGGTGCAGCGCAGGAAGTCCTCCCTGATCTTTTTCTCCTTCTCCACGTTGTAGTCGCGGTCACACCGCAGGCATAGCTTCGCTACGGCTCAAGGGCCCTTACAAAGGGGCATTGTGCCGAAACATATCGGCAGCCACAGCAACCTGTCCCCTGAAACAGCTGGACATGCAATGGTCGTCAGACTTACATTGACAACCCCATATTATATCATAGAAATCCAATAGAAATTTCATGGAAACCCCACAGAAATCACAGAGAAATCCCACAGGAATGCAATGAAAATCCCACAGGCATCCTTTTGAAACCCCATAGGAATCCCATAGAAATTCCATAGCAATCCTATAGAAATACCATAGAAAAACCATGGAAATCTCACAGGAATCCAATAGAAATCCCATAGAAATATCATAGAACCACCATGGAAATTCCAAAGAAACTTCATGGACATCCAATAGAATTCCCACAGAAATCCTCTAGAAATATCATAGAAATCGTGTTTTAATCCCATAGTAATCTCATAGAAATATCATAGAAATTCAAAAGAAATATCATGGACATCCCAAAGAAACCCCATAGAAATATCATAGAAATACCACAGAAGCCCCATAGGAATCGAAAGGAAACCCCACAGACATCCTTTTGAAACCCCACAGGAATCACACAGAACTACCATAGACACACCCTTAGAAACACCAACAAAATATCATAGAAACACCATAGAAATTACATGGAATTTCCAAAGAAATTTTGTCAAAATCCCATAGAAACACCATAGAAATCAAGGAGAGGATGCCAGGAAAATTGAACTAAGTAAGAGACAAAAGCTATAGCAAAGGAAAGGAAAAGGAAAGGAGATAATGATTTTGGAAAATGTTTATTTTTTAAAAAAAGCTTGACACAATAGTTGGCCCGCACAACAAACACACTATTGAGGATCAGGCTTGCTCATGGACTACCCCCTTGAAAAATTGTTTGGATGCTGTTTTTTTTGGTTTTAATAAGGCATCCTATATTTTGGAAATTAGGCATTTTGAGAATTCCAAAAGAATGGAGCTAAGAAAGTTTACAAAAAAGAAAAGTAGTAGCAAAGGAAAGGAAAAGGAAAGGAGAGAATGATTTTGGATTTGTTCACTTCAAAAACAACTTGACACAATAGTGGACCCCCACAACAAACATATCATTTAGGATCAATATTGCTCATGAAAAAAATGAAACATAATTTGAAAAAATAAAAAGCAAAAAAATAAAACTGAAAATAATTAAAATAAAAAACTGAACAATAATTAGTTAATTTTAAAAAAATGCCCACCAAAAAAATTGACACAATAGTGGAATAGTGGATCACCACAACAAACATATTATTTAGAATCACTATTGCTCATGAATAAAAACTAATAAATAATAAAAAAACATTAAAAAAAACAACTGAAAAAAATAAATAAATTAAAAAAAATCAAGAATATTTTTGAAAACAATAAAACAAATGAAAAAGTGAAATAAATTAAACAAACATATTTTAAAAACATATTTAAAAACTGTTTTTTTAATGAAAAACTTACACCCAAAAAAATGACACAATAGTGGCAAACCACAATCAATTACACAGATCCAGAATTATTTTGGAACAATTGACGCAATAGTGGATCCCCACACTAATCAGGAGTCAGCATTAAATGTGCAGTATACACTTCAGATTTTTTTGTATAATGTTGTATGCTGATTAGTGTGGTGGGTCGCTTTTGTAGATTTTTTCTGAAATTATTCAGGATCAGAGTAAATGTTTCAGTTTTTATCATGTTTTCATTTTATGTAGTAGTTTTTTTTTTTAATTATGTGTTAGTTTTATATTTGTTTTTTCATTTTTTCTTATTTCAATTTTTCATTTTTTTTATTAGCAATATTGATCCTAAATAATATGTTTGTTGTGGTGATCCTTTATTGTGTCCAACTGTTGTCTGAAGAAACAACTTAATAAGGCTACATAATTATGACCCATCAGCAACAATTAATTGATTATATAGGGTGCATTATTAAAACCCAATTAAAAACAGCATTCAAACATTTTTTTCAAGGGAGTAGTCCATGAGCAACCCTGATCCTCAATAGTATGTTTGTTGTGGTGGTTCACTATTGTGTCCAGCTGCTGCCTGCGGTGGAAAAAAAAACAAACATTCCTTTTATTTTTTCCTTTGCTATTGTTTTTTTACTTTCTGAGTTTCATTTGGAATTCTCAGAAATGCCAAATTTCCCAACATATAAAATGCCTTGTTAAAACCCAATTAAAAAACAGCACTCAAACAATTTTTCAAGGGAGTAGTCCATGAGCAACCCTGATCCTCAATAGTATGTTTGTTGTGGTGGTCCTCTATTGTGTCCAGTTTTTTTTGGAAGTAAACATTTTCCAAAATCATGCTCTCCTTTCCTTTTCCTTTCCTTTGCTAATAATTTTCTCTTTTTTACTTTCTTAGCTCCATTCTTTTGGAATTATCAAAATGGTTAAATTCCCAAAATATACGATGCCTTATTAAAACCAAACAAACAGCATCCAAACAATTTTTCAAGGGGGTAGTCCATGAGCAACCCTGATCCTCAATAGTATGTTTGTTGTGGTGGTCCTCTATTGTGTCCAGCTTTTTTTGGAAGTAAACATTTTCCAAAATCATGCTCTCCTTTCCTTTTCCTTTCCTTTGCTAATACGTTTATCTTTTTTACTTTCTTAGCTCCATTCTTTTGGAATTATCAAAATGTTTAAATTCCCAAAATATACGATGCCTTATTAAAACCCAAAAAAACAGCATCCAAACAATTTTTCAAGGGGGTAGTCCATGAGCAACCCTGATCCTCAATAGTATGTTTGTTGTGGTGGTCCTCTATTGTGTCCAGTTTTTTTTTGGAAGTAAACATGTTCCAAAATCATGCTCTCCTTTCCTTTTCCTTTCCTTTGCTAATACGTTTATCTGTTTTACTTTCTTAGCTCCATTCTTTTGGAATTATCAAAACGTTTAATTTCCGAAAATATATGATGCCTTGTTAAAACCTCCCAACAAAAAAAACGCATCCAAACAATTTTTCAAGGGGGTAGTCCATGAGCAACCCTGATCCTCAATAGTATGTTTGTTGTGGTGGTCCTCTATTGTGTTCAGTTTTTTTTTGGAAGTAAAAATCTTCAAAAATCATTATCTCCGTTCCTTTTTTTTCCTTTCCTATAGCTTTTGTCTCTCTTACTTAGTTCAATTCTCCAGGCATCCTCTCCTTGGTTTCTATGGCGTTTCTATGGGGTTTTGGCAAAATTTCTATGGAAATTCTATGTAATTTCTATGGTGTTTCTATGATATTCTATGGTGTTTCTAAAGGTGTGTCTATGGTAGATCTGTGGGATTCCTATGGGGTTTCAAAAGGATGTCTGTGGGATTTCCTTTCGATTCCTATGGGGTCTCTGTAGTATTTCTATGATATTTCTATGGGATTTCTTTGGGATGTCCATGATATTTCTTTTGAATTTCTATGATATTTCTATGAGATTACTATGGGATTAAAAAACGGTTTCTATGATATTTCTAGAGGATTTCTGTGGGAATTCTAGGGTATGTCCATGAAGTTTCTTTGGGATTTCCATGGTGGTTCTATGATATTTCTATGGGATTTCTGTTGGATTCCTTAAGGTTTCCATGGTATTTCTATGATATTTCTGTAGGAGTACTGTGGGATTTCTATGGGGTGCCAATGGTATTTCTATGGGATTCCTATGGGGTTTCAAAAGGATGCCTATGGGATTTCCATTGGATTCCTGTGTGATTTCTTTGGGATTTCCATGATATTTCTTTTAGATTTCTATGAAATTTCTATGGGATTACTATGGGATTTCTATTGGATTTCTGTGTGATTTCTACGTATGTGATTTCCATGGTTGTTCTTTGGAATTTCTCTGGGATTTCAGAGGGATGCCTATGGGATTTCCATTGGATTTCTATCAGATTTCTATGGGATCTCTATGGTATTTCTATGATTTTTCTATGGGATTTCTCTGTGATTTCTGAGGATTTCCATGAAATTTCTATTGGATTTCTATGATATGTCTATTGGGGTTGCTATTGGATTTCTATGGGATTCCTAAAGCATTCCTATGGAACTTCCATGATGTTTCTATGATATTTCTATGAGCTTTCTGAATGGATGCTATGGGAATTCCATGGTATTCTTATGGGACTTCCATTGGATTCCTATGGGATTTCTATGTTATTTCTATGATGTTTCTATGGGATATCTTTGGGATTCCTATGGCATTCCTATGGGAGTTCCATGATATTTCTATGGGATTACTGTGGGATTCCTGAAGGGATTCTATGAGATTCTTATGGGATTTCTTGATGGTTCCTATGGAAATTCTATGTTATATCATGTTATATCTATGATCTTTCCATGGGGTTTCTGTGGGATTCCTATAGGATTTCCATGATATTTCTATTATATTTCTAATTTAGTCCTATGAAAATTCTATGAGATTCCTATGGGATTTAAAAAAGGATTTCTATGGTACTTCTATGATATTTCTAGAGTATTTCTTTGGGAATTCTGCGGGGGTTCTATGAGGTTTCTTTGGAATTTCTATGGTGGTTCTATGATATTTCTATGGGATTTCTATTGGATTCCTGTGGGGTTGCCATGGTATGTCTATGATATTTCTCTGGGACTACTATGGGATTTCTATGGGGTGTCAATGGTATTTCTATGGGATTCCTATGGAGTTTCAAAAGGATGCCTATGGGATTTCCATTGGATTCCTGTGTGATTTCTTCGGGATTTCCATGATGTTTCTATGATATTTCTAGGGGATTTCTATGGGATTTCTGAAGGGATGCTATGGGAATTCAATAGTATTCTTATGGGATTCCCATTGGGTTCCTATGAGATTTCTATGGTATTTCTATGATGCTTCTATGGAATGGGA